GCAGGAGTGAGAATTGCGGGAACAGAGATAGCAGAAGCAGGAGAACCAGACACAGAAACAGATGTAGAAGATTGAGAAAGAGCAGCAGAGAAAGAAACAGAGAGAATAGAGAGAGATGCAGAAGATCTGATCATATATAACACAGACAATTTCTCTATTATCACATTCTTCAAGTTCTTAATCAATGATTCAATATTGAGTTCACTATTATCAGCAGACATGAATCTGTTAATATGTGAAAATTCTATATGAATAAAAATAAACATATCAGTATCTGCATTCATATAAAATTATGCTAGAAAACATGATCAGAAACTCACTGAGAAGAAAAACAGTTAAGAGCATATAAGAAGATGAAGAGAGTATGTCATTTATAATAATACATTCTGACAACTGTTAGAAGATAAACAAGTCCTGATTATATTTCACAATGTATTACACTTACTATTAACAAACTGTCTGATATGAGAACTATGATGATGCTTGTTATGAAAATGAGAGGCCATTGTCAGAAACATGTACAATGTGATAGATAAACAGATGAAAAGAGTTGAACAGAAGAAGAAGTAGAAATCTTGAATAAGATAATAGTCTTGAATAAGATAATGATGTTTGATGATGATGATGATGAAGATAATAGTTGAAGAATGAGAAAAGTTAGTGAATGAGTGATGTAATATAGTGAAAGTTTCTTTGTAAGAGTGTATGCAGAATGCTAGCCGAATCAGAGATAGATCACATGATCGCGAAACACTAGTGGCGAGCTAATCTGCATGAAGCTAGAGTGTATGACATGGTCACGTGAGGTTGACTGAATCTGATGAGGGAGAATGTGATTCAGAAGAATGTACAACTGTTGAATAATAACACAGCCACTTCTGAACTTGCTTATGAGTGTAAAGAGGCCATAGCAGCCACTAATTAATTTAGTGTATAATATTACAATATATAAGAAGCCGGCGTATGCCTGGTAATCATACACTGGCTTAAGCAACCTTTGAATCACAGTCTTATTTAAATTAATAAATCAGTTTACAAGTCTTTTTTTCATTAGATTTTGTGATATAAAGATTAGATATATAATAGATTTCTGCTTCATGTCTTTTCTAAAGAATGTTTGTTGATCAGACTTGTTAACTAAATCTATTAAATACTTAAAAATTTATTTAATCAGATTATCAGCTCTTACTACTCTTTTGCATTCTGAATTTCATCAGAGATGATGTGTATTGAAATCTCCTGCAATTATAGAGTTTCTTAATAAAGTTATGTTCAGAAATTCTCTATTAATTGTTCAGATGTTATTATTTTTCTTCAATGACTTTTCATTATATATATTTATAAGCTGTATAGTATCAAATTTATTCTCTTTATCTATAATATCACTCATCAGAATATCAGAGTCAGATATAATATCAAATCTTAGATTAAATTAATATCTTGATCTCTTTCTTTCATAGATCACTACTCTTGACTTTATCTCAGACTTTTGAGATATAAAGCAGTAGTAGCTTGAATGAGAAATGATATATTTTTACTCAGTATCAAAATTCAGCTCCTGAAGCAGTATAAAATCAACTTTTTATTTAAATACAATTTGAAGACAAGAATAAATACAATTTGAGTTTCTATTCACATTATTTTGAATAAATGTAATTTTTGAAGAGTTTTTAAACTTTTTTTATTGTTTTTATTGTATATTCATACTAAAAGAGAGTAGAGTAGAATCTAATCACTATTATCAGATAGTAGATTATAACTATTCTGAAAAGTAGAAATCTCAACTACTTACATTATATCTAGTTTATCATCAGAGTCATTTCTCAATTCTCTAATCTTAACAGAAGTTTGCAGATTCAAAATCTGTTTACATTTAGCTAAAGAATTGAAGTTTGAAGATTTAGATAGTTAAGAGTTTCTTCTTTTTAAGCTTACAGTTGTAAGTTTACTGACTTGACTATTCTCTTCAGTTCTAGATTTATTTTGAGCTTCATCTTTTCTTCAGTTCTTTTGAGTTCTTGAAGCAAACATATATTCTTTTGAGTTAGATGTATGTTTTTCTTTGCAATTAGAGTATTTAAGCAGAGTGTGTTAACATATTTCATCTCTTTTTGAGTATATTTCATATTTATGCTCACTAGTTTTATGATCTCTGGCACAGAATGCACATTTTGAGTCTCTAAAACAGAAGATTGTAAAGTGTTCATATCTTTGACAGTTTGAACACTGTGTTTAAGCTTTGAGATTCATTCTTGAGTCTTTGTATTCATGAACTCTTATTTTCAAACCTGTTACTCTTACTTCAGAGATCTTTGACTGTTCAAGTATTTTTATATATACTAGAACAGAGACATTTCTTCTACTTTGTCTGAACTTAATTGAATTTAGTTATACAGACTCTTTTCTCAGTTAAATAGAGTTGTATTCTTCTAATTCATTTTTGAGAAGTAGCATTTCTTCTTCACAGTCAGAAATTTCAACTGAAATATTATAAAGAATAAATTTATCTCACTTTTTATCTCTTTCAGATAGAATTATTGTGTTTAACAAAGATTCTACTGCTGATTTTCAGAGATTCTTATTCTGAATAAGTAATTCTACACTGAATTCAGACATTATAGTCAGAATGATAGAGTTTTCAAAGAAGAATGACTCAATTAAAGCTATAACTGATTTTTGAACTTTAATATCAGTTATTAACTGAGAAAAGAACTGCTGATTAATTTCATTTCTGATTCTGAAAATAAGATTTGAGTTTAGCTTGTTTCTTTATAAGATGTTCTGATTTAAGACTTTGAGAATAAGTCTTCTATTTCTGAAGATTTGAAAGTTTTTCTTCTTTTGCATTTTTTTCTCCACTTTTCTATGAATAGAAGTATGAGTATTATTCTTCTCAGTTTTCTCAGAATTTTAAGCATATTTTGAGATAGCAGGTTTAGAGACAGCAGATTTAGCTGCTTGAGTATATATTTTCTTCTAATTCAAAGAAGAAGAAGAAGTAGAAAAAGAGAAAGAAGAGTAAGATGAGAAGTCAGTGATTATACTAGAAATTTTCAATATTTTTTAAACTGTCTTTGAAATTCTAAGTTTGAACTTGATCATCTTCTATAGTTGTCTAGTCTGAGTATGAAGAATTAACAGAACTTCTTCATTCATCACACTCAGACACTGCTTTTCAAGAATCTTGCTTTCTTTTTTAAGTTTCTGTATTTCAAGAACTTATTATTTCTCTATTTCTTCTTTCTTTCTTCTCTTTAGAATTTCAATCTTAGAAATAGTATTTGAGAAAGCATCTTTTTTCACATCAACTGAGTGTATTTTTGAACTTATTATTCTCACTTAATGAAAAGTTGATCAGACTGTTTCAATTGAGATATGTATTAAACTCTTTTGAAAAGTTGATCAGACTGTTTCAATTAAAAGGTTTCTAAGTCTGTTTTCAATTGAAAAGTTAGTTAAACTGTTTCAAAAGAAGAATAAAAGACTTTTGTGTATAAAACATCTGATTTTTTTCACACTAGTTTAGTAACTAGATTAGATTTTTGAAGAGAATCTAATAAACTAAAATTGATTTTTAAGATAAATTAATAAAATCTTTACAATCTCTTTCTTGAAATATAGTGAGAAAAAGTATGATATCAATTGATAATAAATCAGATAATATGACAGTTTTTAAGAGAAAAACTGATAAAAAATAAATCAATTTTTTACAGAGAAATTGATTAAAACTATTCAATTTTATTCTAAATTATTCAATTCTTCTCACACAACAAGTATACAACTCAAATCAGTTAATAAAGAGTGTAAAAAAGAATTAAGTATTAATAAAAGCTCTTCAGTCACTGAAAAAGTAATTCTTACTTAAAAGAATATGAAATTATAACAGAAAACAGCTCTGTTTTTAATTCTTTATAAGAATATTGTATAAAATTCAGAGAAAAACATCTTACTTTTTCAGAAGAAGTAAAAAACTATTTCTAAGATCTTTTTTTTTTTGTATTAACTACTGCAGAAGAATGAGATAGAAACTACTAAGATATGCACTACTATATACTCTCTATTAAGACTTTCCCTCTTCAGAGTCTTGATATTATAGAGAATATAAGTCTGTTTCTATATAATAATATAAATATTGTCAGTGAGATGTAGAGAAACTGGTTATTTATATCTCAAAATAGAAGACTTTGTCAATGATTATATCAATATAGAGTTAATTCTCAAATTCAATAGAAATCTAGTATTGCTGTTCTCAATTCCTTGCAGAATCTATTGAATATTGAGATATTAAAACTAGATTTAATATATCTCACTGTGCAGGGATCAAAGGCTCAGTCAGATCTTGAAATATACTGATTTTATAGTTATTGTATCTGCTGATTATGTATCAAATACAGTTGCTGAGGTATCTTTTTGTACTTTTCTGCTGAGGATGGGCCAGATCGGAAGGTGCGGTACAAGGGTGGGACTTGGTGTAAAGACAGAGAGGGTTTTTCACAGAGGATGCACTTCAGATGTGTCTGTTGATTATGTGCTTGATACTATTGCCGAGGTATCTTTTTGTATTTTTCTGCCAGACGTGGGCCAGATTGGGAAGGGCGGTACGTGGGTGGGACTTGGCGTTGATGTTTTGGAACATCAAAGATAGACAGGGTTTTCATGGAAGTTGCTTCTCAGATATCTCCATAATTACAGGTCAGGGATCTTCCAAAATCAAGAAGATTGGCGCATATGGCTAGGTCTCTTTGCCTTACAATTTGTATGGCAATTTGGCCTGGGGTTGTGGTGTGGTAGGGGTGAACGGGGGATAATCCCACTCAGGAGTTTCGAACAACGTCTGGTTCATGTTTGGCTGGATAACTCCACCACCACACGGGGTATGCGGTCGGCGATGGGGTCAAAATGCTTGTATGATCAAGGGCTTTTCGATGGATCTATCGGCGGGTTCTTATTCGAAAAATTGAGTGAGTTCGTGGTGGAGCGCCTTGGTTGGCTCATTGAGTTATTATTGTGGCGGACATATTACTTGCGAAAACAGAATTTTCCCAGCCCCCTCTGAAAATTAGTAGCAAAACACCACCAAAAAATCAAAATATCTGCATTTCTCTAGAATCATTCAATATCATCCAATACGTGTCTTTTTCAATCAAATATCATCCAAATACGCGTCTTTCTTACCTTTATCATCAAATCCACATATATCAATCAACCCTTTTTTCAATATGCCTCACAACACCCGCTGTTCTGCTGCTTCGCAAGCCTGTACAGAGACTCCTACCCTGCGCCTCAGTCTCCCCAAACTACCTGTTCCAGAAGTTCTGGATAATGGAGAGGATCCGGTCAATGATGAGATGGAGGAGCAGATGGATGAGGAGGATATAGAGACTCAGTCTGAGGATCCTTGATATCTGCGAATCCCTACACCTGAGCCTGACATCTCATACAGATTGTATGAATGGGTGATTATCAATGAGATAAAGAACAAGAGAGATGACAAAATGATTAATGAGTAGAAAGAAGAAGAAGAATTAGAAGAATGAATCTATAATTTCTACAATCAATTCTTCTATACAGATCTCTCAAATGTCAGTGATTATATTCCCTTCTTCAGCTCTGGCAGCTTCAACTTCATTCAATATGGCATTCTCAAGTGAGATAATCAATGTGATGATGATGAAATATATGATGAAAGGAATAGAAGAACTGAATTCACAATCTCATTATCATCCACATCCAGATCTGCTGTTGAATCTTCCATCAAATCCGCCGTTGAATCGTCCATTGAATACACTGTTGAAATCTTCCATCGAATCCACAGTTGAATCTTCCATCGAATACACTGTTGAAATCTTCCATCAAATCCGCCGTTGAATCTTCCATCGAATACGCTGTTGAAATCTTCCATCAAATCCACCGTTGAATCTTCCATCGAATCCACTGTTGAAATCTTCCATCGAATCCACCGTTGAATCTTCCATCGAATCCACTGTTGAAATCTTCCATCAAATACACTGTTGAAATCTTCCATCGAATCCGCCGTTGAAATCTTCCATCGAATCCACCGTTGAATCTTCCATCGAATACGCCCTTGAAATCTTCCATCGAATACACTGTTGAATCTTCCATCGAATACACTGTTTGAATCTTCCATCGAATCCGCCGTTGAAATCTTCCATCGAATACACTGTTGAAATCTTCCATCGAATCCACCGTTGAATCTTCCATCGAATACACTGTTGAAATCTTCCATCGAATCCGCCGTTGAATCTTCCATCGAATCCACTGTTGAAATCTTCCATCGAATCCACCGTTGAATCTTCCATCGAATCCACTGTTGAAATCTTCCATCGAATCCACCGTTGAATCTTCCATCGAATACACTGTTGAAATCTTCCATCGAATCCACCGTTGAATCTTCCATCGAATCCACTGTTGAAATCTTCCATCGAATCCACCGTTGAATCTTCCATCGAATACGCCCTTGAAATCTTCCATCGAATACACTGTTGAATCTTCCATCGAATACACTGTTTGAATCTTCCATCGAATACACTGTTGAAATCTTCCATCGAATCCGCCGTTGAATCTTCCATCGAATCCGCTGTTCCATCTCCAATTCAAAGCAGTCCAATACCTCAATTTGATGAATACTTCAATTGATTGACAAGGGAACAGTTGCTTCATATGAATATTGACAAGAGTATATTTCAAATTATAAGAGATGGGTTAAAAAGTCCATTATAACAGACAAAATTGCAGAAATTCAAATCCTCTTTATTCACTATTTATAGTGATAAGAACAGATCTCATACTGCTTTTACTTCTAAATTTATATTATAATGAATTATAATCTGAATCTTTCTAATTATTACAATACTATTCTATATAAGTAGATCTGAAATATTCTTTTATATCTTTTTCTCTTATGAAGTTCTCAACTGCATGATACAAAAAAGCTTCAAAATCTCCATCAAATCTCTTCAGAATTGAAGAGATATCTGATATGATCTTTGACTTTATATCACATATTGAACAGAGTTCTCTAGCAGTTTCAAAACAGTGAAGATTTCATTGAATTCAATATACACAGGTGATACTCAATGCTTCGCACGATCTCAGCAGGCATATAATCATTCTTAAGAAGATGTACAATCTTGTTGGTGGTGAAATCACAGAGTTGAGATGACATATTGATGATAAAGATAAGAAAGACGCGTATTTGAATAATATTTGATTGAAAAAGACATGTATTGAATGATATTGAATGATTCTAGAGAAATGCAGATATTTTGATTTTTTGATAATGTTTTGCTACTAATTTTCAGAGAGGGCTGGGAAAATTCTGTTTTTGCAAGTAATATGTCCGCCACAATATTTTATTAAACTTGAACTTTATAATCAGCTACTGAGATAATACAGACTATATATAACTATCTCATAGTCTGAAAGAATAGATCTCTCTCTGTAGTTAATAGTCTGATTATATTATTTAATAGTCTTTCTATCTTGACAGTTCTTTATTAAATGTGATATTTAAAATTTAACTTAGAGTTTAATTATACTTCTAATCATTTGATATTTACACTGAGTTTAATCTCTCTATTTAAAAGAGTTAGAGATAGTTCTTTCTCATTGAATTTAGAAAAGAAATGAATTAACTTAGTTTTATTCATATTAAATTGAATTTGATTAATATCTGCTCTAACAAAGATTTTCTTTACAGCTTTTTCAATTATTTTTAAATTCTCTTTGATAGTTTTTAAGCTGTAGACTAAATTAATATTATTTATATAACTTAAAGATTGCACTATTCTCATATTTCTATTTTTAAATAGATATACAGTGTATATTACAAATAAAATGAGTGAGATTGAAGATTCTTATAATACTTTTATTTTTATCTCAGTCTTATCTTATTTTATTTTATCAAAGAAAAGTTATATGATTCTTTTAAATATAAAACAGTTAATTCATTTTATTAGAGAAAGTGACAGTTTTAACATCTTCAAAGTCTGAATTAAGTTTAACTTTGAAATATGATTAAATACTTCTTTTATATTAATAATAACTACAGTTGAGACCAGATCTTTATACTTTGTTATTTAAATATTATAAATAACTGAGAGAACAGTATTAATTACAGAATATTATTTTCTATCTATTATTTATTCACTGAATAAAAGAGAATTACTAATAGAGCTTATAAAAGATAGTTAAGTAGTTATTATCTTTTCTAAAATCTTTTCTAGACAGTTCAATAGAGATATTACTCTATATAACTTAGAAATTAAAGTTTTTCTATTAGATTTTATAAGAATTACTTCAGTGACTTCTCTTCAGTATTCAGAATGATATTTATTTTTCAAGAGATTAAAAAAGAGCTTAAAATATTCATTTTTTAAGTAGAAGTATGTATTTTAAATAATTAAGAAATTAATTTAATCAGGTCCTGTAACAGTTTTAACTGAACTTGAGAAGATAGCTGACTCTAATTCATCTTGTGTAAGATCAGACTATTCTCAGTCATTTTCATCAATATAATTAAAAAGTAATATATTCTCTTTCTCTTTCTCTGAATCTGATAAGTTTTGAAAGAGAGTTCTTATAAAAGCTTAACATTTTTTCTCAAAAGAGTTTACTGTATATAATGCATTCTAAAACTTATATTCTAAGACTGAAAGTTTTACTACACTTCTTATTTTAATATAGTTAAAAGCTTTAAAAACTTTCTTTTCTTATACTTCTTCAAGAAATTTATTTCAGTAGTCTGTTTTAACTCTTTTAATATCTGAAAAATATTCATTTCTGACAGTTTTGAACTCTTTATCAGAAATTATATTATTCTTTCAATCTCTTCTAGCAGTAGCTAATTATTTTCTTTTAAATATAATATTCTCATTTCATTAAGATTTTAAATACTCAGAAGACTTTCTGTTTGAAATATTATCTTTAATACTTATTAGAATAATAGATGTAATGAGCTTCACTCTATTCTTAAGCATTTCATTTGAGATATCTTGATCAGAATTTCAATATAGCTCACTCTATCTTTCAGATTTTAACAGTTTTATACTTTCTTCAACTGTCTTTCAATCAGCTTTTTCAAAGTTAAACTGATTAGAGAGAAGAGGATTTTCACTTATTTATTTTTCACTCAGTTCAATATTAAATTGAATAATCTTATAATCTGATTCTGATGTCTCATTTGAATTAATAAATCAGTTTATAAGTCTTTTTTTCATTAAATTTTATGATATGAAGATTAGATTTATAATAGATTTCTGTTTCATATCTTTTCTAAAGAATGTTTATTAATCAGACTTATTAACTAAATCTATTAAATACTCAAAGATTTATTTAATCAGATTATCAGCTCTTACTGCTCTTTTACATTCTGAATTTCATCAGAAATAATATGTATTGAAATCTTTTATAATTATAGAGTTTCTTAATAAAGTTATGTTCAGAAACTCTCTATTAATTATTCAGATATTATTATTTTTCTTCAATAACTTTTCATTTTAGATATTTAGAAGCTGTATAGTATTAAACTCATTCTCTTTATCTATAATATCACTTACCAGAATATCAGGGTCAGACATAATAATAAATCTTAGATTAAATTAATATCTTAATCTCTTTCTTTTACAGATCACTAATCTTGACTTTATCTTAGACTTTTGAGATAGAAAGTAGTAGTAGCTTGAATGAGAAATAATATATTTTTACTCAGCATCAAAATTCAGCTTCTGAAGCAGTATAAAAATAACTTTTTATTCAAATACAATTTAAAGATAAGAATAAATGTAATTTGAGTTTCTATTCATATTATTTTAAATAAATGTGATTTTTAAAGAGTTTTTAAACTTTTTTTATTGTTTTTATTATATATTCATACTAAAAGAGAGTAGAGTAGAATCTAATCACTATTATCAGATAGTAGATTATAACTATTCTGAAAAGTAGAAATCTCAACTAGACTGACCGCTGGGATCATGAATTTCACGTTTGATTCCATTTGGTCTGGTCTCATACATTTCTTGGCGTGAATCCCGCTGGGACTAATCATTAAAAAAACATGCAAAGTGACTATATATCAGATCTCAAAATGGAATCATGACTTAGAAAAAATAAGAAAGTGGTTTCATTTGGTTTCATTTAGTCCCATTCTTGACATAAAGTTACTATTTTTAGACATTTTAAGGTTTTTTTTAGACTATTTTTAATTTTTTAAAAAGTAACGCTTTTTGATAACACTCAAATGAGATTTAAAGTCATTTAAAGCAATAAAAATAATTTAAATTGAGAAGTGGAAATCATGATCTCATTTGAAAAATGTGACAAGAGTAGACAGTAAGTCTCACTGAGACAGTATGAGACTACTATCTAATGTTAAAACAGTGTAATGGGATCAGTTGAATTGGTAATAAAATCATCAAATATTCTGATCCTGGTCCCAGACATGATCACACGGTCAGTCTAATCTCAACTGCTTATATTATATCTAGTTCATCATCAGAGTTATTTCTCAATTCTCTAATTTTAACAGAAGTTTAAGGATTTAAATTCTATTTATATTTAACTGAAGAATTGAAGTTTGAAGATTTAGATAGTTGAGAGTTTCTTCTTTTTAAGCTTACAGTTGTGAGTTTACTGACTTGACTATTCTCTTCAGTTCTAGATTTACTTTGAGCTTCATCTTTTCTTCAGTTCTTTTGAGTTCTTGAAGTAAATATACATTCTTTTGAGCTAGATGCATGTTTTTCTTTATAATTAGAGCATTTAAGCAGAGTGTATTGATATATTTCATCTCTTTTTAAGTATGTTTCACATTTATACTCACTAGTTTTATGATCTCTGACACAGAATGCACATTTTGAGTCTCTAAAACAAGAGATTGCAAAGTGTTCATATCTTTGACAGTTTGAACACTGTGTTTGAGCTTTGAGATTCATTCTTGAGTCTTTGTATTTATGAACTCTCATTTTCAAATCTGCTACTCTTACTTCAGAGATCTTTGACTGTTTAAGTATTTTTATATATATTAGAACAGAGATATTTCTTCTGCTTTATCTGAACTCAATTTAATTTAGTTATACAGACTCTTTTCTCAGTTGAATAGAGTTGTATTCTTCTAATTCATTTTTGAGAAGTGATATTTCTTCTTCACAGTCAAAAATTTCAACTGAAATATTATAAAGAATGAATTTGTCTCACTTTTCATCTCTCTTAGATAGAATTATTACATTTAACAAAGATTCTACTGCTGATTTTCAGAGATTCTTATTCTGAATAAGAAATTCTGCACTGAATTCAGACATTGTAGTCAGAATGATAGAGTTTTCAAAGAAGAATGACTCAATTGAAGCTATAACTGATTTTTGAACTTCAATATCAGCTATTAACTGAGAAAAGAACTCCTGATTAATTTCATTTCTAATTCTGAAAATGAGATTTAAGTTTAGCTTGTTTCTTTGTAAGATGTTCTGATTTAAGACTTTGAGAATAAGTCTTCTATTTCTGAAGATTTGAAAGTTTTTCTCTTTTTGTATTTTTTTCTTTACTTTTCTATGAATAGAAGTATGAGTAGTATTCTTCTCAGTTTTCTCAGGATTTTGAGCAGATTTTGAGACAGCAGGTTTAGAGATAGTAGATTCAGCTACTTGAGTATATGTTTTCTTCTGATTCAAAGAAGAAGAAGTAGAAAAAAAAGAAGAAGAGTAAGATAAAGAGTCAGTGATTGTACTAGAAATTTTCAATGTCTTTTGAACTGTGTTTGAAATTCTGAGTTTGAACTTAATCATCTTCTATAGTTGTCTAGTCTGAGCATGAAGAATTAACAGAACTTCTTTATTTATCTCACTCAGACACTGCTTTTCAAGAATCTTACTTGCTTTTTCAAGTTTCTGTATTTTAAGAACTTATTATTTCTCTATTTCTTCTTTCTTTCTTCTCTTCAGAATTTCAATCTCAGAAATAGTATTTGAGAAAGCATCTTTTTTCATATCAACTGAGTGTATTCTTGAACTTATTGTTCTCACTCAATGAAAAGTTGATTAGACTGTTTTAATAGAGATATTTATTAAACTCTTTTAAAAAGTTGATTAGACTGTTTTAATTAAGAGATTTCTAAGTCTGTTTTTAATTGAAAAGTTGATCAGACTGTTTCAAAAGAAGAATAAAAGACTTTTATGTATAAAATATCTGATTTTTTTTCACACTAGTTCAGTAACTAGGTTAGATTTTTGAGATAAATCAATAGAATCTTTACAATCTCTTTCTTGAAATATAGTGAGGAAAAGTATGATATCAATTGATAATAAATCAGATAATATGACAGTTTTTAAGAGAAAAACTAACAAAAAATAAATCAATTTTTTGCAGAGAAATTGATTAAAACTATTTAATTTTATTCTAAATCATTTAATTCTTCTCACACAACAAGTATGCAACTCAAATCACTTAATAAAGAGTATAGAAAAGAATTAAGTATTAATAAAAGCTCTTCAGTCACTGAAAAAGTAATTCTTACTTAAAAGAATATGAAATTATGACAGAAAACAGCTCTGTTTTTAATTCTTTGTAAGAATATTATATAAAACTCAGAGAAAACATCTTACTTGTTCAAGAGAAGTAAAAAACTATTTCTAAGATCTTTTTTTTTGTATTAACTGCTGCAGAAGAATGAGATAGAAACTGCTAAGATATATACTACTACATACTCTCTATTAAAACTTTCTCTCTTCAGAGTCTTTGTCAGGAAAAAGAGACTATACACTACTGAACGTCATCAACATCGTATTAATACAATAGTTCTCATCATTATCAGCTTACTATAACACTCATCTAATACTCACTTATACTAGCTCTCTTGACTCATACATATATTTTACTATCAATAGCTCTATCTTTTGTATGAAATAGATATATTAGATAGTGAATGAATAATATAACAAGCAGATCTTGATACACATAAGATTCATATATCTTCAATATATTCATCCGTGATAATCATTCTGACAGTTATGAGCCCGGTAAGCAGCATCTGAAGAGAAGCGCGATACACTGATCTCAATTCTCATTTGAACTGATAACTATCATTTGAACTGAGATGATTGATCCTCATTTGTATACAGTCTGAAATACTCGACTATTATATTACATCTGATTCCCAGTAAGCAGCATCTGAAGAGAAGTGCAATACACTGATCTCAATCATTATTTAAACTGAGATGATTTATTCTCACATGTATACATTCTGAAATTCTTGACTGTTATACACTCTGATTTCTGATCATATTCTCAAATACTTGAACTGATTTCTCAATTCATTCAATATAACTAATATAACAGATAAGACAATGTCTAGTGCAACAGTTCACCTTAGTGTTTCTGAAGATTGGAAACTTTGGTACAAGCATATGCTAGAATATGCAAAGAACAAGAAGGTATCAGACTTCATCAATCTTGATAAACCTGATATCTTCTCTGAACTAGAAGAACCTCTGAAACCCGAGTGTTCAGAAGAAGTCACTGCAGAGGTCAAGATAGTATATAACATCAAGATCACTGTGTGAAAAATCAAATATATGAAATATGAGAAAATGAATGAAGATATGACAAAGATACAAGATGTTATATGAAGAACAAAGAATGTCACAGAACTATGACATATATGCAGTGAGAATGATGATGTGAAGAAGATTATCTGTTTATTAAGAGATTGACTCTCACTGATGATTACAGACTATCAAGATAATGTGAGAACCTGATATCATGATCTCTGCAAAGCACTGAAAAACAGAGATATAGAGAAGTGATTAAATGACTGATCTCTCATTGAAGAAGATATTAAAGAGACAGATATAGCTGAATAGTTCAACTTGAAGAAAGACTTCTTAAATGTGAATCTAGCTATTAATACAGGTTATGCACAAGTATGAACTAAGAATATCTGACATGATAAAGATGTTATATCTTTGACAGAGTTAGTTAAGAACTTCAAGAAATGATATAGAGAAATGAGTATTCTCAAAGAAGATAAACCTATAAACTTTACTACTCTTAATGAAAGATCTCAGCAATTATCATCAGTGACATTTGAAAACTGCATCTGCAGAGCCTATCACTGATACACTTAGTGCTACTATCTCAATTCATCAAGAAAGCCATCTGAATGGAAGAAAAATGAGAAGAAGAGAACTTAGATTGATTAAGCTCTTAAGAATCAAGAATTGAAGAGACATGTTGATCATGTAATATCTAGAGATTCATTCATGAATATGAATATAATAAATGTCAATGAAGCAGTTCTGAGAGAAATGATTCTGAAGTAATCGGATTCTTAATCTATCAATTATCAATCTATCAATCAACAGATCTGAAAAATATCAATGAACTTCTCAAATTATCACTTCTATCTCTGAAACTTCTGGATCTTTGATACTGGCGTGGAACAGCATATATACAATAATTGATCATGTTTTCTATTCTTTACACCTGTGAATAAGAATGCAGAAGTCTATACATATGATTTCAGCACTAAAGTTAAAGATTATAGAACTGTTAGAACTATTATGATAAATGAAGCAGAAAAGCAGTTCAATGCCAATCTCATCAACACAGCTTACATCTCAAATTTCCATACAAATATTATCACATGAAAATCATGTTTTCATATAAAAGATATCTATTATGATGAAAAAGACTTCAGATTGTGAACATGTGTAGATAATACAATCTTTACATATGTTAAAGTATTTGAGAGATTGCTAGTTACAGAATATAGTGAAATAGCTGTTTTCTCAACTATCTTGAAAAAATTCACTATCAAAGTCACTGCAGCTACTACATCACACACTTCTAATATCACTATATCTGAAAAAATAATATCTTTAAATTCTTCAACTTCTATAAATTCTTCTTCTAATCTATCATTACATACTTCAATAAATCATTCTTTCAACCTGTCAATACACATAAAACCTTCTTAAAAATCTAAGATCTCTATAGCTACTCAGTCTACATAGTATAAGAGATTAGAACATTTATTGAAAATCGGCATTTAAAAGCTTGCAAATGATATAACTAGTGTTTAAATCATCAATCTAGAAGACACTGCAGACAAGCTTATCACTGAGCTTTGTAAACTCTGTCATCTATCTAATGCAAAAAATCAAATATCTAGATTTTCTCACATTGAATCTTAAATATCATTTGAATGCCTATACACAGATATTACACATGGCTCTACACAGTGCTATAATGGTGAGTGTTATCTCATACATTTCATGTGTGATTATCTCTGTTTCCATATAGCTATAACAGCTATCTAAAAATCAGAAATCTGAAAAGCTCTTAGATAAGCTATCAATTGAATTAAATATTAATTCAACTGTACTATAAAGACCATTCATATTAACAATGATACTGCAGTCAAGGAAGCAGATAACTTCATAAATTAAGTAAATGATGAAAGTCTAGAGATAGAGTATTCTTCAGAGTATATTCATGAGTAAAATAATACAGCAGAGTGAGCAGAAGCAATATTAATAACAAAGATAAGAACTCTATGAATAGAATCTCTTCTGTCACAATCACTTTTCCCTGAGATTGCACTTACTGTCATCTATCTAGCAAATCAAACCTCTACTAGAATTCTAGATTGAAAGTCATCTCTATGAGTATTGAAAGAATTTCTACAAATCAAATCTCATTTCTGCACTTATCTTCAAATCTACAGATGTCACATCTATGCAAAGATACTGAATAAAGTTCTCAATAGAAATCACTCTCAGAAGCTAGATTTCTGAGCATATATTAAATATCTAGTTGAATATGATTTTATAAACATCTATTGAATTTGAATTCCACACTTAGAACAGGTGATAAGAGCAAGAGATGTGATGTTTGATGAGAATAGAAAATTCAACTCTGAAGATCTCTACATTGAAAGATAACTAAGAGATTGAGTATCTAAGAAGGTGAAGCATCTATATATGAAAGTTTGAGAATCATCAATGACTTCTATTAATCAATTGAAAGAGATTATAGATGCAGATATTGATGTTTTTCACTCTGAAGAAAATGCTCAAAGCTTCAAAAATATAGAGGAGGAAAATAATGAGTATAAATATTATAATGTTTCAATTCTTTCTATACTAGATTCAACATCAGAGTCAACAGGTTTTGATATTAATATTAATACTTATTCAGCTGTGATAGATAAGTAAACACAGAACATTACATCTAGAGCTCATAATATCAGTGCTGACTTTGATGAAGCAAATATCATTGATAACTGCAGAACCTGAAAATACAGAGCTGCTCATCTTGTAACAGTTTCAAATGTTAAAAACAATTCATTTCAAATGATCAATGAGACATTCTCTCAATCACACTCAGACTTCTACAAGTCTCAAAATTTATTTTCAAATACTATTTTCATAGTTATCAATAAAACAGCTACAACAACAGTATTTATACTGATTTTAAGAATTCATAGATCTCAACTGTCAGATTCACTGAATCACTGAGCAGATGTTGAAAAACACTCATATTACAAAGAATTTGAGAATGCTGCTAAGAGAGAATGAGATAGTATATCTCTACAGAATATATATGAAATTACTAGCAGATTACAGAGAGACATCTCAGTTATCTCTCTATAATGAGTATTCATTTACAAATTCAATGATGAAGGTTTTCTTTTGAAATACAAAGCTTATATCTGTATACACAGAGATCTTCAATCAATCACAGATCTCACTACAAAAGCTTGCATACTAGCTGTCAGAGATCTCTGAATCTTATTATCTTTAACAGCAGTACTTGATCTAGATGTAGAACAGCTAGATAAAATCAATATCTTCACTAATAGTAATATTAATGAGCTAGTATATATGAAATTATCTGATGAATGATGAAAGTTGAAGAGGATGCAAAATTTGAAGTATATAAATCATATACTAAAACTTCTATAAGTATTATATGAATTACACAGATCACTTCTTCTCTGGTTAAATAAATTATCTTCAATATTGAGAACACTAGACTTCATCTCTATATCAGAGAATTGATGTCTCTTCTTTAATGATCAATTAATCATCTTCTTCTATGTGAATAATATCATCATTCTATCATGATAAGAAGATTTGAAAGAAAGAGATTAACTAATCAAAGATCTTAAAAACATCTATGAGATCTGACAGATGAGAGATTTGAAATGATTTCTCAACATGCAAATAATATATGATCATCTCAACTTGAAGCTCTGACTATGTCAGAATGTCTATATTAATAAGATAGTTGATACATATCATCTCATACATGCCTGCAAGGTCTATACCTCACTAACTGATACTCTGTTAGAGCCTTTTAACAAGTCAGTTATATTCATAAAAATTCATCATTATCAATAATGTATCAGCTTCTGCATCTACTCAGCAGTGATAACATGCTCTGATATTACATATGCAGTGAGTGAACTAGCTACATTCATGACAAATTCATCAGAACATCACTGATCAGAGATAAATAGAATGATATCTTATCTATGTAATATGAAGAATCTTACTATTCAATATAATGATAACATTGATAGATTTCTACAACTTGATCTCAAACCTGATATCATTAAAGCTGTCAGTGATGTCTTTTTCACAGATAATGCAGATCATTACTCTATATAAGAATATATCTTCAAACTGTTCAGTGAGACTGTTGATTGAAAATCAAATAGACAGATAATTATAACTACATCTATCACAGAAGCTGAGCTTATTACTATCTCATAAGTCAGTAAGAAGTCTATCTGATGAAATAGATTCTTTTAACATATTTAATTTGAATCTGATCATAAGATCTGTATTCAATATAATAATTATTAAACTGTTGACATTCTTACAAAGAAAGACTTCTCTATAACTATGAAGCTCTGTCATATTGATATATATAAAAGCTGGCTCTGAGAACATGTTCAATGCAGTGATATTACAGTTGATTGAGTGTCTACAGCTCAGATGCCAGTGAATGACCTCACTAAGACTCTGCTACACCAGAAACATACGGAATTTGTCAAGATACTAGGCCTAGTTGATATATCAGATATTATCAAGATATAAGCAGAATAAATAATTTATTTTGATATAATCTCTACAGATTTATCTACACTCTTTTTACTACAGATTCATCTACACTCTTTTTATTACAGCATTGTGATTTAAAGGTTTCTTGCCAGCGTACGATTACAGGTGTACGCTGGCTTCTTATATATCATAATATTGTACACTAAATTAATTAGTGGCTGCTATGGCCCCTTTACACTTGTAAGCAAGTTCAGAAGCGGCTGCGTTATTATCCGACAGTTGTACATTCTTCTGAACCACTGTATGTTCTTCTGAATCACATTCTCTCTCACCAGATTCAGTCACGCTCACATGACCATGACACCCACCCTAGCTTCATGCGGATTAGCACGCCACTAGCATTCGCAATCTTATGACCTATCTCTGATTCAGCTAGCATTCTGTGTACACCCTCACAAAGAAACTTTCACTATATTACATTACTTATTCACTAACTTTTCTCATCTCTTAATTATCTTCTTCATCATTGTCATCATTGAATATCACTATCTCATTCAAGATTTCTATCTCTCTTTCTATTCAACTCTTTTCATCTGTTTATCTATTATATTATACATGTTTCTGATAATGACTCTCTGTTCTCATAATAAGCATTCTCATAGTGCTCATACCAGGCAGTTCATTCGCAGTAAGTGTAATGTGTTGTGAAATATGATCAGGACTTATTTATCTTCTAACAATTGTCAGAATATACTATTATAAATGACACATCTTCTTCATCTTCTTATACATCTCTGATCTTCTTTTCTTCAGTAGTATCTGATCATGTTTTTCTAATTGTATTATATAATCACAGATGCTGATGTTTTAATTCATGTAAAATCTTCACACATTGACAGATTCATATCTGTCAATGATTGTGATTTTAATGTTAAATTATTAATTGAGAACTTGAAGAATGTGATAATGAAGAAATTATCTGTGTTATATATAACTGAGTCTTCTGCATTCTTCTCTACTCTCTCTGTTTCTTTCTCTGCTGCTTCTCTTCAATCTTCTACATCTGTCTCTGTGTCTGATTCTCCTGCTTCTGCTATCTCTGTTCTTACAACTCTCACTCTCACTACTTCTGGTTTTACTGTCTCTGCTTTTGTTATCAGCTCTCCTCATTTTAAGAAGATATTGTATAGACTTAATAAATCACATTTCTCAGTATGTATACTTCTATTCTTCTTATCAACTCTCAGAATAATTTATTATATAAAGACTGTATATAATATAACTATCTGAAGCTTGATCACAGATGCTGATTATTACATTCATTTTAAATATTTATAGTGAGATAATTATTCATTTATATCAGAGAATCATCTTCTCTCTCAACAGTGTTAAAATTATAAGTCTTTTCATTTTTTATCTTTTCTTTCTGATGCTGATTTTTCTATTCTTAGAAAAAATCATTATAAGTTTTACTGTACATGAAGTCATGATATTCATAGATATTAAGAAGCTTTTTATAACTATAAAGTTCAATATTGTAGAGATATTTACTCTGATAAATTTCTTCAGAATAATAGATCTGTATCAGTCTATTCTCTGATATCTGTCATTTAACTTTATAATGCAGACAAAAAATATCTGTGTTTTTAGAAATGAGAATATAAATATCATACTCTTTTACACTCACAGATGTGAGGCTTATATATCTTGTCTGAGATATTATTATGAAAATAAGCTGTTTATATACTGTATTTTACTTTCTGTATTCTCTTATATCTCTCTTTCTCTTTCTGAGAAGTCTTATATATGTTGTAATTATATATACAACTCTAAGATCAGTGAGTGTTTATTCAGTAACTATTTTCATCTCTGATTTTATGATTTTCATATATTAACAATGATTCTTAGTTACTTCAGTGTCAGAGATTATTCTAATTAAAGATAATAATGTCACTGAGACTACTCTCTCTTATTCTTAAGCTTCTTCTATTACTTTCTCTCTCTCTTCTGCAGAAAAGATTGTATACATATCAAGTTATAAGTATTCAGTTTCAGATAACTTTTACTGTTATTTATCTGATTCTGTGTCTTCTTCTTCTTCTGTTTCTTCTGTCTTTACTCTCTTTATTCTGACTTCTAGTTCTGTAAGTTCTGCACTCTTCTTCAATTTTTCTACATATACATATATGCATTTCTATATTGGCATTCCAGTCAATCTTGTGATAAATGACATTAATGTTGTATACAGAGTGATAGAGGAATCAGAGATATATACAGTGTTATTATAAAAGTAGCTTACAGTTCTTAAATTTCTTACAGATCTCAAGTTTTAAGATTTTCTTTATTTTTAATGTTTCTCAGATGATATAGTATTGAAAATAGATTAAATATGTAATGTATGAAAATGAATGAGATGTATATAATAATATTTGTCTTTTACAGTTAACTTTTATAGTTGATGATCAATTCATTATTTCTTTTCTTTTCTTATACTTTTTCTTTATCTGCTAGTCACTACTCTTACACAATCTCTATATAGTACAGTATTCAGTAACTAGGTTCAGCAGCTTTCATTTTTTATAATTCTATCTCATATATTATACTGTCTCTCTTCACTCACTTAGATCACTACAGTGAACAGCTCATTAAAACTAATCTTATCTAATCTCTGAGCATTTTCAGAGATTAAGATAACTTAGTCTTATACATCTGTGAATGTTTCTGATAGTTTATTCTCTGTGATCTTTATAATTGAACTGATGTAAACAGTTGAATTCAACTCTGAATTTCTTTTTCTTCTGTAATCTGACTTATATACAAGTCTGTTACTTTGAGATCACTCTTTATCATATTACACTCACTGTCTGTGATGTATTATTATATAACTGACTACAGTCTTATCACTTATTGAAGTGTGATATTTATCTGATTTCTTCATTTCTTCTCATTCTTTTCTTATAATTGTGAAAAGATTGAAATAAGTGAGATCATTTAATTTATAAGCATCTATGATTTCTCTTACTTTATAAGACTTTTCAATTATAAGTCTCTTCTTTTTCAACACTGATAATAGTGCTGTGAATAATTATAATTCACTCAGATCTTACATCTTTACTTTCACTAGTTATGAATTATTTACTAAGTTGTATAAGACTCATCTCTCTGATTTCTTCAGTGCATAAGTTCTCAGAGAATATGATTTGAGTATTTTATAGAGTTCAAATCATCTAGATTGAAACTTCTCAGAATTCTCATTGTATACAAGAACTTATGTTCTCATCTTGAGACTTGATTTCTTAACTAGTGAGTCTCATATTCTTTTTGATTGAATTGCTCAGTTCAGGAGTAACTTATTAGCTTTTGCACATGTGTGGCTGATCTCTTTCAATCTTAGTTTTATGTCTGCGACTGCTGTGTCTGCAACTGCTACTACTGTGTCTGTAACTTCTGTTCCTGCTGCATCTGTGACTTTTGCATCTGCGACTGTTGCATCTGTGACTGTTGTATCCGCGACTGTTGTGTCTGCAACTGCTGTTCCCTCTCCCACCTTTTCCGAAGCATTCTCCGGGATGCGCGGATGCAATTCATACAACAGGTAGAATAATGAACACTTGGAGACTGCATGCTGTTAAATCTGTGTGATGAATAGCATCTGCCTGAGATATTCATCTCATAGTCTTATAGGCTTGTTCACTAGATATTTCATCAGTATATTGTTCAAGATTTCATTCAAGTGTTTCATCTTCTCATTTATCTGTGAATAATATAATATTGTTCTATGATATCTTGTCTGTAACTGACTCATGAAATGTCTCACTACTTCTTCTATGAGATTCACACTGTTATTAGTTAGAATCTCACATAGTATTTTATAGTTGATATAGATCTTATTATATAGAAACTTCATTATTATCTTCTCTGTTATCTCTGAAACTGCTTTCATAACTGATCAGTCAGTAGTGTAATCAATAGCAGTGATTATTCATTGATTTTCATTTGACATTCATAGTAATATGTCTATGAGGTTTATCTCTTATTATTTAAACAGTTGTATCATACACTTTATCTAATATTATACTTTCTTACATTCTAACTCTTTCTTAGATTCTTTTATAATCTGATAATTCAGGTACTTGTAAGTTTATATCTGAATGTTCTCAGTCATGCTTAGTCAGTATACTCTTGATTCAAGTACACTTATAAGTTCAGAACTTTCTAAATGACTGAATTCCTTATACATATGAGCTATCAAGTTGCATTTAAATGAAGATTCTAGATAGAGAGCTTCTATATATTCTAGATTATAATAAAGCATAATATTGTTTTTCAATTTTCTCAGCTTGAAGTTCAGAAGCATCTCTTCTACTACTCTTATAAGACACTTATTATCTGACATCTTATCATTCTTTAAGCAAGAGATCATGATATTCACTTATTCTGATTTCTTACATCTTCTTAGCATATTTAATATGAACTTCTCTTGTACCTGATTCATAGAATTCTCATTCATAAAATTGAGTCTGTAATTAATTATATCAGGTATCACAGCATCTGATTTCTTTCAGTATTTAATATGAAGATTATATGCTTAGAACTCTGAGATTCAATATACTAAGTATTTGAAAGATTTTATCATTAATTATAGATAGATAAGACTTTTATAATCTATGATCACTGTTATTATATATCTGTTGTTAATATATCTATTTCATAACATCAGTACATGCTTAATTACTAGCAATTTCTTTTCATACACTGAATAATTGAGCTCAGCATCTGATAGTTTTCTATTATCATATATTATCAGATGCAGCTTACTGTTCTTATTCATCTGTAGAAGAGTGTCTCTGATAGCTCATTCAAATACATTTATCTTGATATAGAAAGATTTATCACAATCTAGTTAAATAAGTACTGAGAATATTATTATATATTCTCTCAGTGTGAGAAAAGTCTCTTCACATACAGTATTTCAGATAATTGAATGAAACTTCTTCTTTTACAAATTTGTATTCATTTCTCTTAAGAGATCTGAGAGTGATACAGATATTTATATAAAATTCTTGATGAATCTACAGTAATATAAGATTAATTTAAAAAACTGTTATATATAATATATGTTTCTTAATCACAGTCAATTCACTATAATATTCAATTTCTTCAGAATGAGATGTATACAGTTATCACTCACTACATATTCTATGAACTTCAACTCTTTCATTTCAAACACATACTTGATTGATTTAATATAGAGCTTATACTCTGTCAGAGTTATAAGCACTTTATCAAGATACTTCAGATATTCATTGTATAAGTTTGAAAAGACTAGAATGTTATCAAGATATATAAGATATAAGATTTCATTCTGTTTATAAAGAATTGTATTCATCATTATTTAAAAGATGATAGACACATTTGTCAGACTGAATGACATTGCTAGGAATTTAAACTTCTCTTATTATATATTAAATATGATTTATGAGACTGATAGTTCATCTATACAGATTTGTCAGTATTCTGAGAGAAGATTAATCTTTAATAGATATCAGGTATTTTCAACTGTATTCAACTGTTGTTAAATCTGTGACAGTGAATATTCATTCTTGATTATAAGCTTATTAAGTGCTTAATAATTGATACATATCTATCACTTCTTATCTCTCTTTTTCATGAATAAAACTGAAAAGCTTCACATGCTTGATAAGAGTTGTATAAGATTATATTCTAAAAGGTCTGTGATCTGATACTTCTGTTCTTTAAGATGTGTTTGTGACAGAGAATATGCATTCTGATTAACTGATTTTGTATTCTCTATATCAATCTCATGTATGAATTCTTGTTTCAGCAGTAATTTCAGTGAAAGATCTATTCAGAAGATTCTCTCATGCTTCTTCAGAAGCTTCTTCATATACTTATTCTCTCACATATTCTTTATCTTGGTTTTCTCTGCTTTCAGGTCTCATATAATATACAGAATGCTTTCAGATAAGGTCTTATAAATTGTTCTCTTTACTTATTAATATGTAAGCAGATTTAATTCTTTTATATTAGAGATATGAAATATCCTTCTCATATCAGTTAATAGAATTGTATGAATCATTTTCTTTCTATTAGTTAACTGTATATAACATGTACATCATTGAATCTGTGAATTGAATCTTTGAAATCAATTGAGTCTGAGAATAAGATCATATTTCATGTTCTGCAGCTTCTGTGCTTAAATATAGCAAGATTATTCTCTAAAGTATAAGAGAACTCTTACTCTCACAGATGATATCAAATATCAGTTATCAGATAATCTTATATATCAGAGATTCTTCACTCAGCAGACTTCTTTCAGTCTTTGAATTATATAATCACTGATATACTGTGTAGAAGCTTCTGTGTCTGTTAACACTTT